TGCCCCAAACGTATAACAATCTATTTCCCTGCCCGATCGAGTTGGCCTACGTGCCGCTTACAGACCGATAGTAACTATTCAAAAAGGAAATTTATGCCCTATGTGCCGCTTGAAGACCGTTCAAAAATTCTAGGAACTCCCCCAAACGTACAAAAATCTATTTCCCTGCCCGATCGAGTTGCCCTACGTGCCGCTTACGGACCGATATAACTATTCAAAAAGACAAATTATGCCCTATGTGCCGCTTGAAGACCGTTTAAAATTATAGGAACTCCCCCAAACGTAGAAAAATCTATTTCCCTGCCCGATCGAGTTGCCCTACGTGCCGCTTACGGACCGATATAACTATTCAAAGAGACAATTTATGCCCTATGTACCGCTTGAAGACCGTTTAAAAATTCTAGGAACTCCCCCAAACGTACAAAAATCTATTTCCTTGCCCGATCGAGTTGCCCTACGTGCCGCTTACACACCGATATAACTATTCAAAAAGACAAATTAAGCCCTATGTGCCGCTTGAAGACCGTTTAAAAATTCTAGGAACTCCTCCAAACGTACAAAAATCTATTTCCCTGCCCGATCGAGTTGCCCCCTACGTGCCGCTTACACACCGATACCTAGCTGAAAGCACCAGCGGGACACAGTCACACAAGCAAAGCAAGGATGTTGTTAGATAAATGCTTTCAAAAGTAGCAGCGAGATCATGTTACTCACGCGCTCTCTTGTCTACACGCGGAAGCAAGATAGTCCTAAAGTGACTGTTCTTAATTAAAGCATTTTTACCAAGAGTTGAGAACATAGATGAATTTAGCATAAGTCAAGCTGTTACGCAATTTGGCATCATTTCAAAAGCAACTAATAGGAGTACAACATATTTAGAAGACATATTTTAGGATAACAAGCTCGAGAAAAAAGCAGTACAAATAACACATCCGGACACTGGCGATCCAGTCTCAAAATCATCTCAAAATCATTGCGACACTCATTATTGCCTTTCGAAATAGGTGTGACCCTACGAAAATATGCTTGGTCACTCGTTTTGAAATTTGGCAGCGTTCCAAAACGCATGCCACTTGGCAGCAATCCAATTCCAAAGATCAGTGTATTTCATCATAATTTTTACGTCTGCGGCCTCCTCGTTTGCCATAATCCAACTATCAGAGGACTATTGCGTAATCAACGAATTCGTTATATATTACGTAGTGATCAGAATCAGTTCCTTCTGTTGCGAATTTTGGAGTAAAATTTCCTGAACCCAATCCAAATAAGTTGAAAACGATTATAGCTGAGATTGAAAGAAATTGCGAGATTCTCAAATTTATCCGGGGTGAGATACTCTCCAAAAAGATATTCGTTCAATTCTTTAACTTGTAAAGTATCAGAGGTGTGGAAAATGATTAGAGGCGCGAGGAATCTGGAGCTCCCCCAAGCGCTTCCAGAGGCAAATGCGGTAAGCCTTTGCTGCCTCCTGCATGACGTCCCACCAAATGCAACCCGCATTTTCCCATTTCCCCTCGCTTTAATGTTACATTCGTTATCAACATGCTCATGCTCGCTTACCCCCGTGCCAACTCCCATGATTTTCAAGATTGATATTGTATTCGTAATCAACATGATTGCATACCCTCTTCTGCCAACCCTTAGCACCTTAGCTCAGCGTTCGCAATGAATTGGTAGAAACTGTAAAAGGTAATAATGAAAAGTAATATTGTATTCGTACACCAGGTTACGCTTAACCTTTGTGCCAGATCACAGCCCTTTGCTCAAAGTTTGCAAAAAATTGATAAGACAAATACCAAATGATAACGAAAAGTAGCCTATGCTTTTGTCGCTCTCCGAGTGCATACGTGCAAAGTTTGCTCCCATCGGTTTAGAATTGGAGTTATAACTCATTAGCTCAATACTTGCGCACCGGCACGGGCCTACAAACAACACTTCGGAGAAGAGATAACTCGCGTGGGTTGCTTTATATACGGCTGTCCCAAGTGCCTACTGTCTGAATGCCAAGGTTTATCTGCCTTGCTATAAAGTCTTTTGAGAAGCTTTAGGTGCTTTAGGTGCCTTTTGTAGAGCTGGCTTCAACTTAATTCACACTATGAAACGAATTACCGTCCTCTCTTCATTACTATAGGATTATGATAGGAAATTCGGGCAGGGTTTTGCGTCATTAAGGGTCTCCTTTACCCCTAAAAAAGACTAAAGAAGCTGTAAACTCTTACACTAAATTAATGCGAGTCACCGATTTCAAATATGAGACTCGCACTTCACTGTAAAGCTGTTCGCGTAAGTTATGTCAGATATACCATAACAAATGGTTTCTGATTTTCGTCAAAATTTTGATTACGCCATTTGAAAAACTCCGCACAAAGTCATGTAGTGAAATCAGCAGGAATGAAAAGCTTGTCACGATTTTCCAAATTTTTGAGATTTCCGGGCTGTCTATCTCCTACTGGAACCATATGCTGAGGGTTGCTGCCGTGATCCGGCGGTAATCAAGACAGATCAATGATTTGGTCCGTACTCTAAATCTAATCTGAAGTTAACTCTACAAAAGTACTCAAAGCTTCTCGAAAGACTTTGTGACAAAGGAGTTATCAACGATCAAATAATGGGCACATTTTTTGAGGCAATCTTTATATAGATCGGTGCAGTTTTGTCAGTTTTTTGAAATAACCCGCAAATCCCGTACAGCAAAGATAAACACTTTAACACTTTAAAACTTTAAGCTGTATTTGATGCAGAATTTTTTCCTAATACCCTTCATTTCCGCTATATTCGACTTTCGCTAATTTACAGAATTTATATTTGAGACTTTTGGGGGAGCTTTGATAGCCGGAGAGCGCAAAACGCAATTGATCAGTTTTTCTGTATCTCTGTAACTCGTTTCTCAGAATTTCTAACATATATTTTTTGAAGTGACCATTTAGATTCGGCCTATTTTGACCTCATAGAACATGGAATGGTAAGCAGCCCAGATACCGCTCGTTGCAATTTTTCCTTCTTTCTGGCAATCGCCTTTTCTTGACGAGACACTTAAATTTGCGGCGGAAATCGCAGTATTTCTCAAATTCACCAGTACGTAATGGCGTACTCTATATTTCAAAATCCTCGGATTCTGAAGCGAAGATCACTCTTTTACTGTGTATGGTCAGTAATAGCAATGATCGAATTTTGACACCTCAATTTAAAGATGTTGCAGGTGCAATAAGTGTTATTTGATTTTTTTTTTATACTAAAGCCTTTCCAAAACAGACTAGCAAAATCTCAAAGAAAAGCTACGGAAACTTGTTCTAGTTTACGAAAGGTTTGCCCTACCTGCTGGCTACCAAAGGTCCCCCAGAAGTCTCGAACAAAAATTAATTTGCGAGATTAGGACATGGTGAAAATAAAGGGTAGTAATTTCTAGCGGTTACCTCAGCGCTTCCTCAACGAATTACAATGAAAATATGATAGCTGGAGGAACAGGATAAGAGGAACAATTTATGCATTATATACAGCGTAAAGTTTTCCTTATCTCTACTCTACTGTACTTGCAGGCACACACACACACACACACACACACACACACACACACACACACACACACACACACACACACACACACACACACACACCACACACACCACACACACCACACACACCACACACACACACCTTTTTTTGTACTTGCCGGTTTACTTCATGAACCACCTAAGATTTCTTGTAAACGACCATAAGGCCCCGGGCAGACTTCACGCGATTTGATCGTCGCGACTGAATCGCGAGGAGACAACTGTTACAACATCATTCCATGCCGATCAACTTGCATTCGGTGTGATACTTTTCCAGCCCGAAATTTTTGAATGTGAAATGAAAATGAACGGAAATCTTGGCGATTAGATCGCGACGATTAAGTCGCGTGAAATCTGACCGGGGCCTAACGCGCCCAACGCCAACGGACATGATTAAAAGCACCGTCTACCCGGACTTTCGACCTCCATGTTTTGATCGTTCTGGGGCCTTCTCATGCCCCTCATTCTGATTATGAAGTCGGAATCTGCCAAAATTGTGACAATCCTCATTCCAGGGAACCGGCAAGCCGGCTTTCCAGAACAATGATTGGATGGGCGGGCATTACTGGAGCCGGGCGGGGGGAGGGGGGAGCGACTTGGGGTCCTCATGCATTTTTTTACTCCGAAACGATTTTCTCGCTTCCGAGGCGACATATTGCCGCGTCTTCGCCATTGCTTTGATATGCGGTCCTACTTACCATAAGCTTTAAAAGGTCGAGACCCCTAACTTAGGGTGGACGCTTTCTTTAACTTTTGCGCTGTAATAGTTTTATTATAGAACACTTCCAATGGTGCCTAAGTTTCTGCGATTTCCGAACATAGTGTCGTCATGTTTTTCGAGATCTTGTCAAGGTTTTGAAACTGGAGAATTTATCAGTCACCAGAGGACAATTCCATCGTCCTTGTAAAAGGCTTGTAAATGCAGTCCAAATGACACTTAGACGAAAGCATATCAAGAGAATAATGTCGAATTTTATGGGGCTAATTACAAAGCAAAACGTCTGTAAGTTACCATATCACAAAAGTGAGTGTCACTGATAGCGTTGAAAAGAACGCTTAAAGTACATCGCATTCGTATTCTCAAAATTCAATATTTTCAATGTAATCCGTTGACCTAGTTAACCAGGGTAATGCTTTTCAGAATGTCACATTGGGTGGAACTACCTACTCCGCTTAAAATGTGTATTCTTTTTTCGAAGCCTCTATGCGTTTTACATAGGGCATCATGCGCTTGAATTGTCTTGGTTTTTTCGGTCTTTACCGCTGCAGGCTTCATACTTTTGCCAGGTCAAAGCCAATTTTTTTACCAAATAGCGAGAACGCATACAAATATGAAGATTACAAATGCAGTGACTTGGTTTCTGAATTCTGATTTGATGCGGTGGTTGCTGATTTTCTGATTTTGAAAGCTTAATGAGTTCGGTTACGTGTACGCAACATATTTCGAGGATGCCGCGTTCTTCGCGTACGCTCGAAATAGGGGTCACTTTCGTGACGCTTTCCATTTGCAGCAATTCATGCTTACCTTTAACTCCACCTCCTGAGCATACTCTTTAATTCTTTACGAGAAAACCTTGGAAACTATCCGAGTATAAAGTTCTTGCAGCCTACAATGTGAATTTTCCAGTTATCAATATGACAGGTAAAAAAGCATGTTAGTGAAAACGTAGCAAAATCGATTACCCATTTCGTGAGGACTTATGCAGCCTACGTCGCAAAAAGTCAAGCTTTACTCTCTGGAGACAAAGTGGACTTTGAGTTTTAACCAACCGTAGAGCTAATTGTAAGAGATGTATTTTGTTATATGGGCATGTGTAATGCTCCAAAATAAATCAGAAACTTCAACTGCCGAAAAATAAATATCTGGAAATCTAAGCGGTGGTTTGGGCTCGGCAGAGGTGGCTTATGGAACACGCTGGATATCGTTTTTGGGGTAGAAAGTAAAAGGGATAATGTTTTTGTGGGGTCAAGGGCAAAGTCCCGGAAAAGATGCATGCATCAGCTCAGCACGGTATGTATGAAAAAGTCTAACTTTAGAAAATCGGAGTCTTGAAAGTGGTAAAATATTTTCGGTTCAGGTTTCTGATCACGCAATTTGGAACCGGAATTTCATTGGAAATTAGACGAGTAAAAAGTCCCGAAGAGTTGGCCAACTTCACACCCAGTAACCTGATAAATACCTGCAGTCTTCCCCTTACAAACATATCGCATTGCTGTTGTCACATGAACATACTTACTCTAACTTTCACAACTCTAAAAAAATCCGAAGTTGTTGCGTGAATGCGCAATAGGGAGTTAAATTCGTAAACAAAAAATTCCTAAAGCCACCTCGTGCTGAGCACTGGCGGGGGAGAGGAGGCATCTGAAAATTTTGAGAGTAAAGTATTTATTAACATTTAAAAAATAGCATTTGGTGTAAACATGAAAGTAAGACTTTGAAATACTCTACATGGAAAGAACAGAGGAAGGAAGAATGCAAGGAAAAATAAGAGGGAAAATAGCAAAAAGCAGAAAAAAGTTTTTTTTTTCAAAATTCAAGACCCGGCACAACGAAGAGCACAAGGCTTATGCTGACTCGATTTTTATTGAAGTGGGACTTCAAGACTGAACCTTAAAATGTGAAACACACACATTAATTCACTGTCCATATCCTTCTTTGCTTTAGTTTCTCAAAATTTGGTTGTAGTCACCCTTGCATATCGCAAGCTTTTCCGACCTTCCTAGCCCTACGCGGATTCGAAATCCCCTAAAGTGCTCTGAAACCCCTTTCTTCAAAGAACCGCAGAAAGCAAGACGAGTGCTGCTTCCTTACCACCTCCGCCATAATGGCAGCAACACCATGAAGGGAGATGCCAAGTGCAGGAACAATTTGAAGCGTGTAAGGAAAATCGGAGAGCTCGGGTCCGGACCAAATCGCTCATGCGAACCACTTTAAGCGCGATTCTCTCAGAGTAAAGGGGCTCAAATCGCGTCTGTCTTGATGCGATGGCCTATTTAGTGGGCCCTATAGTAAAATAGGAGGAAACCAGCACAAACTCAATCCTGGTGAGAAACTGCTTCAAACGTTGTAAAAGGTCTGAATTTTTCATCATCTTGATACAGTAGTAGTGTTCGAACGGTTGAAAGCGCATGCACGCAGGTGTATGTTATATGATCATCTTGATCAACTTCTTAATTACTCAAAATTGACACAATTTGAAAATGTTCTTTAAAAATCAGCTTTGAGACTTGCACGGTTTATGTTCCTTGCTGAAAAGACGATAAATGCGTTTAGAAGATCGTCCCTTACTAGGCTCTGAGTAAAACTCATCAAGGAACAAAGTAAGACAAAGTGTTGAATTCCTTCTTTGTTCAGCACTAATAGACCTTAACATTGCATGAATGTTGAAAATAACTTGTTATTCGTCTTGAGAATCAGATGATATATTGATCATACAAGTAAGAAGAAGTAAGACTCCAGCTAAACTTAAACTGTCCTTTTATCAATTACCAGTGCGTCACCTCTGCTTCGCAGAGGCTCGCACTGGCTCTTCTATCTATATGTCATACTCCTTCCCGCATAACATGGCAATGAAACATACCGCGCAATGCCCGCCTACACGAATGATTCGTAAACAACTACTCATTTCTTGAGCTTTTTCGTGTGAGATCGGTATTTTGCGTGGATGAAACTTTGGAAAATGGAAAACAAATGCAAATTTGAATAGGTTTTGAAACTTTTTTGGCTTGGTAGTTGCCGTAAGGACAATAGTTATCGTGAGCTACATCTCTATGCAAAAATCTTCTCAAAAGCTCAGGTAAAACCACGGCGATTGACCACTTACGCGACCATTACTTTTTGACGTCGTTTCCGTAAAGCAGCAAACCTTTGGTCACTTTTTGGTCTAAAGTCCATGGCTTACACATCAACCTGCTAAACACATCCACGGCTTTGCAAAAAGCGTTGATACGGACCCAATTTTGCGGGCCAGAAGCCAAGTGGATCCGTTTGGCGCGCAAATTCCGAGGGACCCACTCAACGAATCCGTTCGTGCTTTTGCATGCTGGAGTTCTACCTTGGTAGCATGCGCTATGTAAAGTTTGGGCTCGGGATGGTGGCTGGATCCCGCTGTATGAATTTTGTTACAGACAGACAGACACACACACAAAGTCACATAAACACCCCTAGCTCGTTATTATAAGTTATGATACTTGATGTTAGCGGTCTTTCCACATGATCAGAAAAATTTTTATAGATTTCATCACACTAGGTGGCATCAGCTTCATTTTTTTAACATTTTCAACGACATGTAAAAATGAGACAAATATTTTACGATCAGTGGAAAAACACTTGTTTAATAGAATACATTGACGCTACTGATAACTGATTAGATAAGAAAGCATTCTTACTTTTGTTTTAAGCCTTGTTAAGCGTGCACTTCGTCTTCAATATTTCGTCGTTCTTTGATTTGTGATTGCGTTCGGGAATCTTGAGGTGTCTTAGAAAATTTCAAATTTCGAATATTTTGAAAAGAATTGACGATTTCTTTGTTTTGTAGAAGCATACAAGGAAATATAACGTCTGTTCCCTGAAGAGGTTCTCATAGGCACTACCGATTGAACAACCAATTTACTGGCATTCGCTCGTAAAAGGTTCATTTGAAGTAAGCTTTCAAATCCGCTGAAGTTAACATATTAGGATGTGCGGAACAAGGAAATGAGCGCGCGAGCGGTGGTACCGATGGGGCTCTCTGGGGTACGGATGATATATGTTTGCTATGGAAAAATGTGCAGCTTTCAATGGTAGGCGCATCAGAACAACCGAGACTGATGAGACATTGAATTTCGACTAATTTACAGGAAAATACTGAAGCAGATCGCATTTTAGTACAGTAAAAACGAGTGTAGCCCAGGTAATGACAACAAATTTTGATTTGTTCGTTTTCCTCTCGGTTATCACTCCCTTTCTCGTTTAGACACCTAGTCATTTCAAATCCCTCATGTATGTTCATATTTTGCATTATTCAAAGCATGCCGTTTCACGCAGCTGTTGGACGAAAAGCTTGTGCATTTTTCACCATGAGCTTCTCACTAAATCTAGTTCACAGTGATAATCGCATATTCCCCATTCGAATCTCAACGCTCTAGTTTTCACATAACCTTCACGGGATGGCATAAGAGCATCCTGTAATGCAGTGGTTAAGTTAAGCGTTTTGCTAGCGAAAGCAAAGGAGCGGGATTTTGTGCTTGTCTGCCTGACGCATGAAGATAAAATTTGGGCATAATGTGATTTGTTGTTTATGCACACCCCCTCACACTACCTTATACCGCGAACTAGCTTATTAGTATTAGATAGGCAACGTCACGATTTTTTCTGTATCACATTATCCCTTATCTTTGCTCTTATTATGCATTGGTAGTTAACGCAGTAGAAAAAGCTCGTAACTAGCTCGACCAGAAGAAATTTTTAAAATTTGCCTATTAGTTTTATACTGTACGAGTGGCGTAGGAGATGAGAAGCGAAGCTATGACCAGAACGGACCAAGGTTCGATCCAGCCTCTCGACGGATCAAACCTTCTACCCTCCTTGGATAGAAATTATTACCAGGGTAATCCGTGAGGACATAAGGACTGATTTGACAGTCGGTGGTCTTCGCATATTGTAAAAGGCTCTCGCCGTTCAAGTTCTTCTGCCACGAAGTAGAACGCGTTTGGCGCATCTCGCAAAAAGTACGGCCAAATCTTTTATTTTTTATTTATTACTGGCTGGCTTACCCGGCTCCGCCCGGCCCTGTCAAAACACTATGATAAAGCTCCCATCCCTATCCCTGTAAAACCTTTCCGTGTGCCCACTTCTACATAATAACTCCAACTCCCTATTCCCGCTGTGTTAGTATCAGCATGCTCACTTATCCCTATGCGACATCCCAGCCACGTAGCTCAAAATTTACAAAAAAATTAATAAAATTGAAAAAATTAACGGATACTTGCAAGAACTAATATTGGTAATTCAGCATGCTCGATTACCCTCCTATACCAACTCCCAATCCCGTAGGTCAAATCTTGCAAAAAATCGATAAAAATCGATGCAATCGATTCGATCGATGACAAAAAGTAGCCTATGACACCTGCCCTGCCCCGAAGTGTGGTGTGCCAAGTTTGGTCCTGATCGTTTCAGATATAGAAATTTTTATTTGAAACATACGTACACACAGACAGACATACAGACAGACAAACAGACATTCAGCTTCGCATACAGGATTAAACATTTGACTTGTCTTCTCTTGGGATATATTTTCTCGGTCATACATTACTGCTATATAGTGCTTTTGTTATACTGTCAGTCTGATGATCGCGTTTACAGAAAAATGGATTGACTAATACCTGCAAAAGCTCTTATTGCTTTTTGAACAAAGTTGTGTGCCAAGCCAATTGAAAATTGGTATAAAAGTGGTAGTCGTAAAAGCTGTTTTTAGCTTTGTGCATGCTGGAACACCAAACCGCACGATGTATCGCATTATATCCTGACTGATGGCTCCGTGTCGCAGAAGATGCTACTGACGCATACTTCAAGTTTTCAGTTGACTGATGGCAAGCAAATCCTGAACGAAAAATGTGCCCTCTTGTATGAGATTCTCCACTATTCCAAATGTAACGATAATGACAAATAAGCGTGTATACAATTTAACACGTTGAAGACAATGCGCATTTTTAGTTGTCTGCCTTGTGGGACAATGCCTTTCACGAACGAGTCGAAAATTTCTAGCTAAAATCAAGCAGATCGTCATTTTAACTATACCTACACAAATTCTTGAAAGCGGCCAAGAAACGTCAAGGTATTTTCCAGGGTTCGAGCGTAAAAGACTTCAGGAAACGGATGTACCCAGTAACTGTTATTATTTCAAAAAAAATTATGCCGTGACCCACCATGTGGGTCACATTGTCCCACGTGGCAGTCATTGCATGACCCACCATGTGGGTCACGTTGTCATCAATGTGTTAAATTGTCGTAACGGGTTCTTCATACAAGCGCGAGTTGCGCATAATCGGTTCAAGCGAAAGCAACATGTCATCAAACAAACGGAATTTGGCTTTCAAAGTCAAAAGGACATGGGTAAGGCAATTCTCGCAGTGAAATAAACATTGTATCAAATTGTGACCTGAGACGGCACGTCCATTCACTGCTAAGTAGCGAGATGGTTATCTGACGCTTGCCTTTTTCTAAAGGTCTTACATAAAAAATATAACCGATGACTTTACGCGACTCCTCTTATCTGCGGAAGCCATCCTGGAGTCATGGCTTCTAAACATGAATGACGTCTCTTGCTCAAACTGATTGGGCTGTATACTTGTCGAGTATGATGCGCTTGTCCGGTCCTTATACTGAATGAAAATATAGACGGCGCAAAAATCCCTTACCTACATTATTCAAAATTTTGAAAGCAAAGTATGTAGTGAAGAACAGTTCCCGTCCTTCTACAGTTGCTCTATCATCGCGTCTTAGACTGCCCTTTACTGCTATCAACATTTGGTGTAAAATGTGATTTTGCTCTTTTTCCAGCCAAATCTAGCGAACTGAACCTAACGATAGTAGCAGTCAATTACAGGTAGCCCACTACGTAATCATATTATTGTTGGGTGTAAAGAGTATCAATGGCTGACATGAACAAGGTCAGCAGAATATATTCAACGCATACGGACATGTAGTGATCGAAAGCTTTGAAGCTACGTTAGATAAGAATCTGAGGAGTATAAAATATTTCTAGAATGTGCAGTATTTTTAGCGTTTTTTAAATCCGAGGACAATTTTTTAGAATCGCTTTTGTTCAATGATCAATCGGCGTTCCCCTTTTTGTGATCGCTGGAATGTGAGAGACAGGTCCATGGCTGAGTCAAGATGCCAATACAGTTTTTCAGTAAGATATACGAAACCTCAAAGGGGAAACTTTCGTAAGGACGCATTAATTGGCCGCCACTAAGTAGGAGAACATGTAATTTGAATTTGTTTTGTTTCTTTCGGAATTCATTTGGGTGGGCTTATGCTGCACTTTCCGATATATTGAAAACTTTTGGAGTCTGAACTAATCAAATTCGGAAATGACAATTACCTACTATACTTGGGTAATTCGAGAATTTTTCATCGAATGAATGAATATCGAATAAATTCGAAAAGGAAAAATTTCGAATAAACGAATATCGAATAAATTCGGAAAATCAAAAATATCGAATGAATGAATTTCGAATAAATTCGGAAAATCAAAAATATCGAATGAATGAATTTCGAATAAATTCGGAAAAACAAAAATATCGAATGAATGAATATCGAATATATTCGGACATTGGAAGTCGAATTTCGAATGAATATTCGAATGATTTATCGAATAACTAAGCAATCACATCTTAAACTTGCCGACATATCTGGCTAGAGCCGATCCAATGATAATCAGCCCCCTAGTATCTCCTATACCAACTCCTAGCTCAAAATTTTCCAAAAATTGCTGAAATCGATAAAATAGATTTCGGTTTTGATCAGCATCCTCATTTACCCCCTGTACCAACTCCTAAGCTCGTAGCTCGAAATTTTCCAAAAATCGATAAAATTTATAAAGTAAATTTTTATCCATAATCAGCCGTGGGTGCGAAGGGTTGAGATAAATCTTACCCTCCCTTCACTTTGGAGCCTGGGCTACCTCCCCCCTTCACTTTGGACGGAGGAAAAAAATTCTTTGAAGTGAGATGATAGTGTGCTTGAAGTGGAGTAGAATCTAAGGTAAAACAATTTATTTACAGAGTGTAGGGGACGAGAATGCGGGAAACGAAGCAAAAATCGGGCCGGACCCCCCCCCCCCCTCATGAGACAAAGCAGGTGCTGAGGTGAGAAAATACTTAGTTTAAAGTTGAGATATCGTATTGAAATCCAATTTTAAGAATTTCATGGGACGAGCGGTAATGAGTCGGATGGAAGGGGGCATGGTCATGAAACGAATGGCCGAGCGTGTTGTACGAGACTCGGAAAAAGACATTTTGTGGTTGTACTGTGGCTATAAATCAAATAATTTGCCATTGTATTGTGTGTATAAGGATAAACGATAAATGGAAATGTTGTACACAATCAAAGATGTAGATAGTGAGTGAAGTTTGGTTGAGGCAGGTTTGAATTTCCAACTATACCCCCCTTCGAGCCAAAAAAATTCCATATCTCGGTAGGGGGGTCCTCTCATAATCTGATTTCTTTTTTATCTTGTCGAGGAGAGTGTACTGCATATAACTAGGGCTGTCGCAAAAGAATCTGCTGAAGCAGACCTTCTTGAGCTTGAATTTCACACAAAAATCTATGCGTCTTCAACTGGGTACTGTTGCTCTCCTTCCTTACAGCAGATTCTTTCGCGACAGCCCTACTTATATCAAGTAAACCTCCCTTTACAAGATGGTGAAAAAATTAGATCACGAAAAGAGCTCCCCGCTGAGATATGGACTGTGAAATAGAACCACCCAAAATCGATTTTTTTGCTATAACTCTTGTGTAAATAAACAAAAATAAACAAGGAGCTGGATTTAGAATCTACTCTTCAAGTGTTTTAGAATGATATGTGATATGTGGGGGTTCCTTGTTTTTTTCGCCCTGCGACAGGGGTTGAGACGATTCAGTTATGCGATCTCAGGTCTATCCCCCCTCCATATGCATTAAAGTGGGCGGGGTTGAGATCGCATAACTGAATCGTCTCAACCCCTGTCGCAGGGCGAAAAAAACAAGGAACCCCCACATATTATATATCATTCGAAAGCTCTTGAAGAGTAGATTCTAATTCCAGCTCCTTGTTCATTTTTGTTCATTTACACAAGAGTTATTGCAAAAAAATCGATTTTGGGTGGTTCTATTTAACGGTACATTTCTC